CCCTCCTCTCTCCAAAGCTGGGTGGGTCAGCTTTACCAGGCGGCTCTGGGAAGTGAAGAGCTGGGGTTTGCCAGCCATCGCCTCGGCCACTTTGGGGAGCAAGGGAGGCGTCGCTTTGAGAACCACATCCCCGCGACAGATGGCTCCCCTAGCCCGCCGGGGCGAAGAGCGGCTAGGAAGCAGCTGGCCAGGCGAGCTGGACGAGACGCCGGCGGGAACCAGGGAAGGACCTGGCCGCAGCCTCCACTGCCGGAGTTGAGTGGCCACTGGGAACTCCTAAGCCGCCCGCCTCCGAGCCTAAATGCATCCCCTAGTCTCCCCTAAACTCCCCCGCTTCCCTCCTCTTTCTGGTCCTCTTTCTCTTCTTCCTCTCCCCATGGGACCACACTTTGCCTCCGGACTTTGTTCTTTTCTCCCTCCCTCCCTCGCTCCTCCTCCCCCCTCTTGGGTTCCCTCGGAGCCTCTCGGGCTCCTCCTCCCCCTGGCCGGGCCCTTGGAGCTGCTGGGACCCCAGAACCCGCCTGAGAGTGAGCCCTAGACAGAGCATAACCTGGGGAAACGGACTCTGAACCAGCCCTGGAGAGGAGCTGAGAACGCGCTCGCCATCCGCCCCAGTGGCCCGTAGGCCCTGCAAGCCAGAGAAACAAAGGCGAGGGCCGAGCCGTGTGAGAAAACGGGTCCTTCGCCACCGAGGTCCCTCAGCTCGGTCCCGCGCGGCCAGGCGGAGCCTCCAGGGGAAGGGGGCACTTTCACTCAGAGCTCCGGCCACTTGTTGCCGCTGGGCTGAGCGTTGGCCTCCCTGCTTGCTCGCTTCCAGGGCTCGATAAAACCCAGAGGCCCCTTTCTTTTCGCAGCCAGCTCTAGCTCTGGGAGGCCTGGGACTCAGGGCCCCCTCCCTCGAGACCCCCGGGGCTGCCACCTCCACCGCGAGGATAGTGGCGGCGGCCGAGTAGCAAGTAGCTAAACAAACTTCCGCCGATCCGACCGAGTGAGGAGCAAAAAGAGAGATGTCCTTTGTCTGGGCCCGACAGGCTGCGACCAGCTCCGTGGCTGGTGCGGATTCCGGCTTCACTGGCTGCAGTCGAATACACGGGCCCAAGGTTCCCGGGCCTCCCTAGCGGGCATGGAAAGTAGCCCTGGTCACCACCCCCCAACTAGAGAAGCGCTTAGGGTTTTAAGATTTTCAGAGAAGTTTAGAAGGTGGGAGTTAACACTCTCATCTGCCCAGGCCCGAGCATCTGAGCTGATGAAAAGTAGCTGGGACTCAGACTCGATGGAGCCCCTCCACCCATTCCCAGCCCCCATGACTATTCTTAAACATTTCCTGCGCAGCAAATAAAAGCTTTTTCTGCAATTAAAAAAATAATTAACTTATTCATAATAAGTTAGCAGATTCTTTGAGACTTTCCTCATCTCTTGTATTGTTCTCCGCACAGGCCCTCTCTGAGCCGCACTCTCCGGAGGGATTAACTTCCACAGGCACTCCCCTGGGCATTGACAAGCCAGGGCCTTTCTACTCCTCAGGCCGGAAAAGCTTAGGCAATGCTACCAATAGATGCTGCCTTCGTATTTAAAAAAAAAAAAAATCCAAAGGCAGCATTTGACAGCGGCATTCTGGCTGCTCACAAAACCGGAAGGTTAAAGAAAAGACTGAGAGGGGTTTTCTCCTCTCTGGTTGTTGCACCCACTCTCATTGCCTCGCTTCCTAGGAGCTTCTTTTTCTGTGGAAAATGATGCCCTTCCTGGTCTCCTGCCCTCTTTTCCCTTTAACCTAGCACTCTGGGGGCCTGTTCTCCAGGAGGTGTTCCCACGTCTCAGTAAGTGGTTTCAAGGCTCCCCACAGTGCAGGTGTCTGTTGAATGATGCTGTTGTCTATAGGCAATCAATCTAGGCTGTACCCACGGGCTCAAAACAACATCCGAACCAGGCAGCATCCTCCCAGGACCCCTTGTCCAGCTCTCTTTCCTAGCCTTCCTCCAACAAGTTTAGTCCACTTTCCCTGTGACATTCGAACCGAAGTGTAGGGACACTCCTATGATGGTGCCTACAGTATTCTCTCTGCCACCTAAACCTTGGTAGTCTGCTGCTCATCAATCATGCAGGATGTTGCTAGTCCCAACACCACTCCAGTTTTGGGTAAGACTGATTTGCACCCAAATCCATTCCTAAACAGTCCCCTGGGATACCCTCTCTCTCATCAGGAGCTTGGATTATTGTACAGAACAGAGCTCTGAATGCACTCTAGGCTGCAACCCCTTTGGAACTCTGGTGATGAGGTGGGTGAACTCCTGGTTGCCCTGTGAAGAGAGTGAAATGAACTGGCTTTCTGTCAGCAGGTGGTGAGAATAAAGATGTGTTTTTCTCATCCACGTTTATGGGTCAAACCCTGACTGCACGGACTCCAGTGCTCAAAATGAGAGGATCTGTACACATCAACCATGCACCACCCACAGTTATTAACTTTGCCCTTGTAAAGTTTTGAACACGTGTATGGCTTTTGTGCCAGCAGCGGAAAGGCAGACACATCTGATTCAGCCAAAATCACCGACAAGGGTCTGGCCCCATGGAGCTCCTTTCCAGATGCAGCCTTCCCTAGAAGTGCTGAAAACATCTGGACTCATACTTCTTGAGTAGACCGGGGTCAGCCAACCTGCAGGTCACTGGGGTTGCCTGATCCTCACAAGCTCCTTTGGAGTCCAGTGGTCGGGATCTGAGTTGGCTATACGCAGAAAAACAGTCATGGGACCAGGCATTCTCCTAGGGGAGATTGTATTGTATAAAATGTCCTACATATATAGGACAGAGACTTCCTATGAATATTTATCAGCAGGAAATTTGGTGATTTCTCAAGGGTCTTCAAGGTATCTCTCTGAAATAAGCCCAAAACGGTGTCCAGCAAAACGACAGAAGTCCCCAATGTCAGCGTGTCATGCTTCTGTCCCCACAGGGGCTTTCCATTGCTCACAAAGCAAGGCTTCTGGGCTTCAGAGATTCCTGTTGGGGAGGCTGAGAAGTGGTTTTGTCCTTGGTGTTTCTTAGAATTTGTCTTTACGGACCTCTTCTCAACACGTTGTGGTCCAACACGAAAACCTCAGCTGAATTATTCTATTTCAAATAATGCCTTCTGAGGTTGTGGCACTATTGAGTTAACTTTCTTGCTCAGAGATCAGGCAGAGGTCAAAAAGAACTAGGGATTTCCTTGGGAGCCTGCTTGGGATACAGTCCACCGTCATAAGCAAAACTGAATGTTTTGTCTTAACTCTGCACATCCCTTCCCAGAGAGCATCTTACACCCGTGCTCAGAATCTACCCCCACTTACTCTTGCTGGCCCAAGACAGATCATTGCAGTAGCATAACCTACAGTGATTCTCTAAACTCCTGTGTAGGAAGTGGATCACCCTACCGTCTATCAGAATGCACACATCATTGACTCAAGTGGAGAATGACTCCCTCTTTCCCTTGCAGAGAAAATAAATGGGGGGAGAGGGGGAGATGAAATTTCAGATCAATAGCTGTGCTAGTTTCCCACTTTGATCTTTAAACAATGCCAAATAATGCTTATTTGTTGGAAGTTTTGTTGGGAGCAGGACCCCCAAGCCCAGGGCCACTGCATAGAGCCTGACCAAGCACAGGCTTTCTGCACCCGTGCTCTGAGTGCTGTACACCTAGATCTGAAGTCACGTGCTCAGTTCTTTCTTCCAAAATTTCTGGCCAGGTTACCACCCCAAACTAGAGGCAAATCTTTTACTAGGCTATTCACAGATCAACTTAAAAATTTCTGTGGTGGGAGGTTGACTCTGGTCTTATGAAAAGAAATAACTTAAGCTCCAGGAGCCTATATGCCCAGTTCTGGATTGTACAAAGGAGAGGAGATCTATCAGGATGGTGAAGATAAGGGAGACATCTTCTTCCCCGGCTGCTAGGAAACTTTGGGTCTTAAGCTTCCATCGCTAAGGGTGGAACTGAGTACAGAAGACTATGCACTTGGCTAGAATTTTATTTCCAAGCAAGGGTTCTGGGAAATGTCTTGTGACAAAAGATTAAGAAATGTGGCTAAAAGGGCTTCCAGAACAGCATTAAGGAATCAAACACAACCTAATTTACACTATAACCACATCTCTCTAAAGACTTCAGCCATCAAATCATCCCCAAGTCATAAAAGAGAGGCACTTTCCTGAGTGTTGTCCATTTAACTTTGGTTATGAGGGTCGCTCTGCCTACCATCAAGGGAGAACTTTTGAAGGCGACAGTCAGCTGGTGGTAGAGTTGAAATAAAGGGAACCAGACAGCTGGAAGGGAACACACCAAACCCTAAATCATATGCTTATTCTAAATGGAATATTAAATTAAAGTCTTCACAATGAAGGTCTTCCTGACAGAGCTGCTGTCAGTCACTCCCTGCTCAGACAACGCATTGTGGGAAAGTCATCATGGTCACATTGCAGAAGGCTGGTGTCCCTGGTAAAGACGATCCATATCATGTAAACCCCATCACCAAGATCAAAGTCCACTCCTTTCATGGAACCCAATACATGTCAAACCTCATTCCAATCAAATCGCCTGGAAATTAATTCAAGATGAATATGTCATAGAATAATGTGACTGTAGAGCTGGAGAAGGTCAGGGGTGGTGGTTTCAATGAAAGAGTAGTCAAATATTAATTCTAGAACGTGCAGTTGAGCAGGCGCTGAGGAGGGTGAGCTGGCTGCTGATGGGACCTTGTATGGCTAACTTGTGTGCAGACACATCCGACACTATGTTGCCTCGAACCCAAGCTCACGACCCCACATGAGCAAAAGTTAAAACAAACATTCTATTGCAAAGAAGTAGAAGACAGAAAGACAGACAGAAAGAAAGAAAGAGAAAGAAAGAAAGAAAAGAAAAAGAAGCTGGCAAAGAAAGGCCAGCAAAGCAGTACTCAAAGGGAAGGGCATTAACTTACTGGAATCTTTCAGGGCGTTTCGGTAAAGCCGCAACCGTTTCCTCACCACCAAGGAGGCCTTGTATCTCATGGTCTGACTTGGAGCCTGTTTGGGAAGAAAAACAGGACAGTCACCAGTCTAACACTTTGTTACTTGGTTCTATAGCAAGATCTTGTGGCCTGAATGCATGGTGAAGAAGATGTTGGTTTGAAGAGTCTTTGAAGTTCTCTTTGACAATTTTCAAATTGGATAGTTATAGATAAGAATTTGACATCCTTGGTTTTAAAAAAATGTTAGCTTGCTTTTAAAATCTGAAGTTGCCAGCTAGGCTTTGAAGCCTAAACTCACTCTGGGAGTTTGCCTTGCAAGTGGAATCAGACCCTCTAAGTGGTGTTCAAAAATTTCTCATGTGAATTTATTCTGAGGAGTGCCATTACTATTATTGTTTTAAATTATCAGTTGAGTGAAGTGGAACTGAACTGCTATCTTCCAGGAAATTATACAACAAAGCAAACAAGCAAACAACCAACCTCGAACACAATCAGGTTTTCTGTCAACAGTCAGTTGTCAAGTGTTGGAACTGAAGGGAATTTTCCTGAAGCTTTGCAGATCTTGTCTTGTCCTGTGGCAGAGTAAAATCCCTTAGCCTACAATGACCTTGCCCCCAAATCCATTTTCAAATCATCCCTGGTTAGCTTTTCATAGTTAATAATATAACACAATTCAACCAGATCAGGGGAAAAGGACATCATTTCACCGCTGGATCCTAGTTTTGCCTATATCTTAGTTGAGAGATATGGGCCCCTTTTCAGACGACCCTGGGCTAGAGCTGCCCAGCTCTGGGCCATTTCAAAGCATGTCTTTTAAACCATCGTGGGGACCTCTGCCTCTAGCAGAGGAGCCTGGAGGCAGCCAGGCAGCTAAACAGAAGCCATCCACTGAGCCCCGACCCTCAGTTTGTCCTGGAAAGACAAACAGTCATTGAAAAAAAGGTCTCCGGCCGGACAAACACAGCCAGCCTTCTTGTCAACAAGGATGTCTGCCTGTCTTGACACTCCAGCCCACAGAACAAGCGATTGCTTAACTTGTTGAACCACAGGCCATATCCAAGTGGGATTCTGCTAGCTCCAAGGATTTCCATTTCCCTGAGCTTAAGATTTCTCTGTCTCCATCAGCAACTGGCTGCGTTCACTGCGGGTCCCAGCCTGGGGGTGGGGGTGGGGGTAGAAAGGGGGAATGGGGAGACTCACCTTTTCCCAGAGGATTTGATTTATTTTCAATTCTTTCTAACCAAACGGCATCCTTCCCTCAATTTAATAAGCTTCTTCCTGCACAAATCAGGCAAGAAAGGAGGCCCAATTTTGTATTTCTACAGAAGGGCACATGCTGGGCGGCCTCACTCTGAAATGTCCGCATGGCAGGATGTCGGGCACTGGAAAAGTCCTGGTTGGTTGGAGCTAATAGAATTTATGTTTTTCACTTCCAAGGGGAATGGGTGTGAGGGTTCCTAGAGAACTCTGTCCACCTATAGGACACTGCCCCACCCGGCCTTCAAGAGGTCTGGGTCACTTCTGTCCCCAGAACTCAGCAGCCCTTTGCCAATGACAACCCCACAGGTCCAAGAGCAAATGCTGCCAGGCTGAATCAGGACAAGCAGGGGGACCTTAATCTGCCCACCGGTGCAGCCATCTCCATCATTAGGTCGTGCAGGATCCAGGGAAACATTTCTTTTGGTTTCAATTCTGACACAACTTTTGCAAGCCAGTCACCTCACTGATGGAAGAGTGAGAACGTGTGGGACAGTCCTTGGACCCCAGATAGGATGTCCCCACCAGGGTCTCGTGCAGAAAGCCTGCCGTGAGGTTGGCTGGGTTTACACAGCATCCTTCCTTCAGGGGGGATTTCCCCACACCGGCCTGAGGCAGCCCCTGAATCAAAACCTCCAGAGGGGTCTGCGTTCCTCTCCCCACTTTGGAAAAGAAAAGGGTGCAGTGATTGATCAAGCGGGGGCAGCGCAGAGGAGGAGGGGTTGGTAGAAGATACGTGCAAAAGGCACCAGGTTCCTTTGGGGGAACGCCGCCCAGACCGCTTGTTTCCAGGCCACCCTAGCCGCAGCAGGCCTGACCAAGGTCAGAGGTCACCGGCAGCCTGATTCCCAAAAGAAAACTCCAGGGCCCGGCCGCCAGCGCGGCTCCTTCCGGAAGACCTGACCGGTGAGCAGTACCGCGGAGGCGGACCCGAGGGGACAGCTCGGCCACAGCGCGGCCTGGGCGCTCGCTGCGCTGCGCCGCGCCGCGCGGGGCCAGGACTCGGGAGCTGGAGCCGGAGCCGGAGCCGGAGCCGCGGCTGATCGCGCCGGCCTCGGGCGCTTTAGGCGGGGTCTGCTGCGCCTTGCGCCTCCGCTGCACCCGGCGGGCCCTCAGGCCCCAGGAATTTGATCCGCGAGGCGCCGTGGGGCTCCGCCAGGCGCGCGGGAACCCGAGCTCCGGGCTGGCGGCCGGGCGATCTCCGGGGACTCCGGAGACCGTCGAGAGCCATGGTTAGACTGCAGAACCCGCCTGGCCTCGCACTCTTTTTTTCCCCAACGTCCCTCCCATTGCCCCTCAACCTGCGGACGTCGAGGGCATGGGGGCCGGGGCTGGGGGGAAGGAAGGGAAGGCGTCGCAGCCCCAAGGGTCGCTGCGAGGCTCAGACGGTCGGACGGGCGAGATGTATGACCTCGGAATCCGTAGGGAGCTTCCTGCAGGCGGAGCGCTGGAAGAGCTGCTCTTCAACACCTCGGTCTCCGTTCCCAAGAGAAAGCTGGCTCCCAACTGTCCCCGAGGGCAATTATCAACCCCCAACTCCCCTGCCCAACCTTTGACAAGGTCCTGGATTTGTGTCACCTTCTGACTTTGCCCCTATTTCTACTCTCCCGGTGTGCCCAGAGTCCGACACGGCCTGCGCTGCGGCCTGCTCCCCAGGAAGTGGGTCCCTGCCCTCATCCGCATCCTCCTAGAGAAAGCCAAGTCCCCACCCTGTGGCGGGTAGCGCACAGTGAGCGGTCCCGATCTCTGGGGGCTCGGTGCTCCGCTGCTGGACCAGGACACGTGAGGCCGCGGAGCTGCGCCTGCAGCTGACCCAGTCTACATCCGCGGTCTGGTTGGGACCAAGCTCCATTCTCCTGCTGCCAGCCGGGCCTGCTAACTTGGCTCTTTGGGCGCTGGGGAGGGAGGGGAAGCCGAGCAGCTCCCAGCCACTCCAGTAGGGAGTCGGGTGAGGGAGCTGCCCCAAGGGGCCCCTCTGGCTAGGATCAAGAAGAGTCCCCTTCTGGTGCCCCCAGTGTGACACGTAGGCCATTTTCAAGGAGGGCAGGGAAGGCAAGAGGACGGCAAGCTGCTTTTGGTCCCTGTGCCAGTGAGAACCCCATTTGCGCCCCTTTCTCCCACTCCCGGGTAGAAGGGATGGAGGGGTCACTAGGGCTGCCCCTCTGTCAAAGGGCCCCCTCCTTCTGTCAATGCCAGTGGGGGTGGGGCCTGTCCCTCGGTAGTGGGGGTATAGGGGGAGGGGATCAGGGAATAGCTTGGTGGGGCCTCTCTTCCCAGTAGGGTTGGGGTGCGAGCGGACGGAAAGCCCCTCGGGACTCAACCACTCACCTGGCTCCACCTGTTGCCCGGATCACCTCATTTCGGCACATCACTTCGGGATGGCTGAGGGGGGACCACGAGCCCCTCCAAGCCTCTCTTTTGTGGTTCCAGTGAGCCGGTCATCCTTCATGTCTTCTTTGCAGCCTTCGGACGCAGTTAGGGAATGTATGATGAAGCAGAAATGAGCCGTCAGGATGATATTTTAATGGCTTATATGTCACGTTGGTGCATGTGGCTTTGAACTAGACACGCTGTAGTTTCCTGCAGAGAGCGCCGCAAATCCCACTTGATAACTTCTACAACACACAACTTTTTTTCCCACCCCCTCTCATGTTCACTCTTCCCCTGGATATTTGGACTCCTTTCCTAAAAATACCCTCTTGTGAATGTCCCCGTTGGATTTTCCACGGACTGGAGAGGAGAGGAATGACTTTTCTTTTTTTTGAAGAATTATTTCCCTCCCCCCTCTCAGCAGTTACCCTCCCCCTCGCCCCCCTCCTTGTTTTCTTGAAAGGCAAGGCGGGGTGGGTTTGATAGTTGTTCTCCCCAGCCAGAGCAGCCTCCAGAGAAAAACTTGTGTATGAAGATTTTTACTACTGCGAGTTACAGAATCAGACTTCCTCTTCCAGCTAGCAGAAAACACTCAGTGTGTCCGATGTTTACACAATATCCTATAAGGTACGGATATCAGAAGAGTTGGAACAAGCAAACAAACACCTCCCTGACCTCCCAGTCTTGCACTTTCATTCCCTATCTAGGGTATATTCAAAGTTGGCCGGGACTGTGCTCGGCTGGACTCAGACTTGTTGCTAGGGACAGATTGTTTGATTTGCTTTTGTTTTCTTCTTCCCCAATTTCTAGTCCCTAGCACAACCAGTACCACGGCTCGCCCAGGTCTCTTCAGACACAGATCATCCTGGGACTGAAAGCCCGGTTTTGAGCCAGGAAAGCTTAGCCCAACTCGCTAGCCCCAGCACAAACACAGTCCGTGAGAAGACCAGAAAACTAGAAAGGCAAAGTGGCGCAGGGCCCTGGTCCTGAAGCCCGTGAGGGCGATGGGGCAAGAGATTTTAAAAAAATCATTTTCATTTTCCTCTCGCTGGGGCACTGGTGAGTTTCCTAACAGGCCGCCATGAAAGGATGAGTTGAGGTTTCTTTGTCTGGAAAAAGAGTTTAGGGCTGTGATTCAGCTGCAAAGAAGCCAAATGAAGTTAGAAACAAAGGGTAAATTGAAGGATTCCGACTCTTGGCTTTTTGTGTTTTCCTTACTAGAAAATAATTAGACCTAATGAATATGCAGGCGCCTCAGCTAAACCCTGGGCCCAAGCTGCTGGGTTTTAAACAGAGCTGCGGAGAAATGCAACCTTAACTCCCCCACCCCCACACCAGCCCCCACCTCCTTTGCCCGTGCATTTTTTGAAATGCATAAATGTTGCTCGGCTTAATTGATTGAGTCACAGAGATTTTCCCCCCTGCTTTTAAGTGCCATACCCCTCTACCTTTCAACAATCATTTTAATATATAGTCAATGGCTCTTTGTAGACCGGACAAAAAGCAACTACGCGCAGTTGTTGAATAGACTTTGCGCTGGGCAAAGACAGGTTAATCGAGGGCCGCATCGCGAAAACAAGCGAGTGTTGTATGTTTGCACTGAATCCAAATGTCTGCATTTTCCTAACTAAATCAAAGGGAGTGTTATTTCTTTTTCTGCTCACTCATCTGAAGGTAAGTAAATTTTCTCTGGCGATCAAAAGCCTGGTCGGCAACAAAGACCGCGCCCGCTTTTTCCACCGTCCTGGTGTGGCGAGTTGCGGAATTTCAATAACTGTGACAAGGGTGACTGATTTGTGAACTAGAAAAGGTTTGAATGTCACAAAATTTACATTAGTCCTATCTATTGGGGATTTAAATACCAAAAAAGTATTGGGGAGGGGGGATCTCTTGGGAGCTCTGGGCAGCCCAGAGGAACAATGGAGCGATGGGAAATTTACAGTTTTACCTGAATGAATGGGGTCTCAGTTGGAAACAGGGGTGCAGAGGGAGGAGGTTGGGGGCGGCGGCGGGGGGCGCCGAAGGAGACGAGGGAAAAGAGAGAAAAGAAAAAATAATAACACAAGGACGTGGGGATGGAGGAAATCGGCAACAATGTTTCCAATTTGCCATTAAAAACAAACAAACGGCAATAACCTGTCCCTTTAGGTGCCCCCATACACCTATGTTTATTTGGGGGGAGTGAGATGGTGGGAGGGGTGAGGGTGCAGAGGCCTGACTGATTTGCTAAAAGTAAGAACAATCGAGGCAACTGGTTATCCTGAGAAATCACTCTCTTGAAGAGAGAGTGGAGAGCCCGGCTGCTCCAGAGATCTTAAATTATAAGCTGGAAGGGGACGGGGCAAGGGAGAAGGAAACTTCAAAAGGAGCAAATAACAAAAGCCCCCTTTGCTACCCTTAAAGGGAGGAAAAGGAGGAAAGAAAGAAAAGAAAGTTGCTGAATCGGGACATTCTGGAAGTGCCTGAGCTCTGTTTACCAGCCCCATCCCCGCCTCCGCTCAGCGAGGAGCAGGTAGGAAGAAGTAGAGAAAGATAGAGAAAGGGACAGAAGGAAAGAGGGAGAGAGCGAGAGAGAATTATGACTGTCAGAAAGAAAAGAAATCGTGGCCAAAAAATTTTTCCGTGAGAAGAGGGAAAAAATATTTGGCTAAAAAAAAAAAAAGTTGCTACTCCTGGCAGCCCTGTTTGTCAAAAGCGGATGTCAAGCGCTTTACAATACCTGGGATTGATGAGGCGGGCGGGCCAATGAGCGGTGCGCGGCGCCTCGGCGCGCCCTCCGTTGGCGCGGCGGCGGCGGGTGGGGGGAGCGCGGGCGCACCAATGGGCGTCCGCGTTGGCAGCACGTGACGCCTCCCCCTGCTCTCATTCATCAAGGGGGGGGGACGGTGTCGTCCTTTCAATTCATTTATCTGCAGGAATGATTGCTGCTATCAGTCTCGCGCTCACCGCCCGGCTGAGGAGGTGAAAGTTTCTCCCCAGGAAGATAAACCGCAAAAGACAATATTGTGCATGATTTGCGCCTTTTCTTTGGCTTTTTCTTTCTTTCTTTCTTTTTTTTAAAACAAAAAAACAGAGAGGGAAAAAGGAGAGTGAAGAAGCGAGCCTGAGATAAAGGAGAGAGAAAAAAGAAAGGGCGAGGGGCTAGCGGAGGAGTGAGGCGGGGCGCGCGGCGGCGGCGGCGGCGGCTCGGAGAGGACGAGCGGCGGCAGTTCCGGCGGGCGCTTGCAGTCCTCTATGTCCCCAAGCCGGGAGCAAGTTCTTCTGGGGGGCTGAGAGGCTCCATGCTCTCCCCCGGGCAGCCCTGACGCAGGGCCCTCGCGGCGGAGCCGGAGAGCGAGCGGGGCCGCCGGAGTCTCGGCGGCGGGCTCCGGAGTCCGCCTGGCTCGTGGCCCGCAGCTGTCCGTCCGCCTTCCCCGCGCTTGGCCGGGCTGGGCGGGCGCCTGGACGCAAGGCGCGCCGCCGGCGGGCTAGGACTTCGCGAGGTGGGTCGACTGCCCCTCCCTCCTGCTCCTCTCCTTCCTCCTCTTCCTCCGCCTCCCATTCCTCCTCCTCCTGTCGATTTTCCCTGCTCGGCGGGCGAGGGTGGGGGGGTCGGGGGCGGTCGGGGCTCGCCCCGAGCAGCCACGATGCTCCTGGACGCCGGCCCCCAGTACCCGGCGATCGGCGTGACCACCTTCGGCGCGTCCCGCCACCACTCGGCGGGCGACGTGGCCGAGCGAGACGTGGGCCTGGGCATCAACCCGTTCGCCGACGGCATGGGAGCCTTCAAGCTCAACCCTAGCTCCCACGAGCTGGCCTCGGCCGGCCAGACGGCCTTCACGTCGCAGGCGCCCGGCTACGCGGCGGCCGCGGCCCTGAGCCACCACCACCACCCGGGCCACGTCGGCTCCTATTCCAGCGCAGCCTTCAACTCCACGCGCGACTTTCTGTTCCGCAACCGCGGCTTTGGCGACGCGGCGGCTGCGGCCAGCGCGCAGCACAGCCTCTTCGCCGCCTCCGCCGGAGGCTTCGGGGGCCCCCACGGCCACACGGACGCCGCCGGCCACCTCCTCTTCCCGGGGCTGCATGAGCAGGCGGCAGGCCACGCGTCGCCTAACGTGGTGAACGGGCAGATGCGGCTCGGCTTCTCGGGGGACATGTACCCGCGGCCGGAGCAGTACGGCCAGGTGACCAGCCCGCGCTCGGAGCACTACGCCGCGCCGCAGCTGCACGGCTACGGGCCCATGAACGTGAACATGGCCGCGCACCACGGCGCCGGCGCCTTTTTCCGTTACATGCGCCAGCCCATCAAGCAGGAGCTCATCTGCAAGTGGATCGAGCCCGAGCAGCTGGCCAACCCCAAAAAGTCGTGCAACAAAACTTTCAGCACCATGCACGAGCTAGTCACGCACGTCACCGTGGAGCACGTCGGCGGCCCAGAGCAGAGCAACCACATCTGTTTCTGGGAGGAGTGTCCGCGCGAGGGCAAGCCCTTCAAAGCCAAATACAAACTGGTCAACCACATCCGCGTGCACACGGGCGAGAAGCCCTTCCCCTGCCCCTTCCCCGGCTGCGGCAAGGTCTTCGCTCGCTCGGAGAACTTAAAGATCCACAAAAGGACGCACACAGGTACGGGCACCGCTTTCCCCAATCCCCTCCTCTCCCCAGCCCCCCCACCTCACGCCTGGGCCCCAAACCCCGAGGCCCGCCGTTCGTCCAGGGAGCACAAAGCTGGCCTTTCGGATCTCTGCACCCGGTCGGGCGGAAAGGCAGGCAGCCCGGCGAAGTGGGCCTGGTGTGGAGCTTGGAATTTGAAAATAGGAGCAGGCGAAGAGAGGCTCGGGCTAGAGCTATCTAGGCAGGTACCTTCAGAAAGGGACGTATAAAACAGACCGGCAGGAGCCGGCCGGGTCCCGTGTGGCGGAGCCCTTGGCAGTGCGAGCGAAGCGGGCTGCGGTGGCCTGGCGACTCCGGGGTGGCCTGCGCCCTCCGCCCGCACAGCCCAGCACGTGCTTCTCAGGCTCCTCTTCCTTTCCCCCGCGTCCCAGAGAGGGCTTTGCCAGAGGAGGGGGCTGAGGACAGTGGAATAGATCGGGAGAAGGACAGAGAAAGCAGAGCAGAAGCAAAAAGAAAGGAGAGAGGAGGACAGAAAGGGTAAGAAGTGGGGCCGGAGGAAGCGTTGGGGTTTCTGCATAAAGAGCCCCCTTTTAGTACTGAATTGGGCTGGGCTGGGGGAACTCGAGGCTTGGAGCGCTTGGCAGGAGGCGGGGAAGTCCTTTTTGCCAGATTCCATGGGGCAGTTGGCTTATGGATCGTTCTGGAACCGTTTTTAAAAAGAGAAAAGTTTGCCACGAAAGCGTAGCTGCGGTCGGGTTTCGAGCGGGCCACCTGTCCCCTTGCGCCCACAAGGCCCGGGATCGCGCCTCAATCCCCTGTCTGGTTTGCCCCGGGATTCCGCAGAACCCAGCCTAGAGATGCAGGCTTCCCGCAGGAGCCCCGGGAGGACGGCGGTGAGGAGCTCTCGGCCTTGGTCCCTCCGCAAAATTGTGTGTGTGTGTGTGTGTGTGTGTGTGTGTG